TGATAACCTGACTGACCACATCGAGTCTCTAGGACTGCTCATTCAGGTCTTCAGTGCGACCTGAATGAGCAGTGATCGCGCTTCACGTGGTGAAGTGTTGTCCATCGGACAGCACTTCCCTGCCAGAAAATAATTATTTATTGCATTTCTTCACATAAGTAGGTTACAAATCTATGAGTAACGTGCTAACTATATACAGGAATATTCATTTTTCTAATTAACTGTCCTTACAACACGCCATATTGTAGAGACGCAGATCGGTGTACATGATTTTTGGGAGGTGGGTGGGTTTTTTAAATTTCCACTTCTTTGCCAAGGTTTGGTCCCTTAAATTTTAGCCAAAAATTTTGCCAGAGATGTTAACGCACTGGCTAAAGTCTTGCGAATGAGCAGTGCACGTCGACATTGCGATCAAAAGTCCTTGCGCAAAGAGGGGGCCATTGTACGTATGCACGTGAAGGAAAAAACCTTCAGGATAATTTCTGATTGGTTAATCCCAAGTTTGCATCAGTTGTTCACATGCTTAGCAGCCAAAGTTCGATATTTATCAGATATTTTGTAATATTAACGGGGCTAGAAAACGGTTCCCTTGTTCTGTCAAGGTACTTGGACCTTGTACGTACCTGGTACGGATTAATTGTTGTGACGCAGATGCGTTGGCAGACTGAAAACACACTCAGGCAGATAGAGCCTTCAGAACATATTACTCCATTAACCGCAATTTATAGCTTTGCTTAAATTGATTATTTAATACATTTTTATAATAGGTAGTTAATAATAAGTATACAGGGTGTATCAAAAAAAGCGCAATCCTCGACTGAAATGTAAATTGCTAAACAACTAATAGACGAAAACGTTAAAGTTTACATTAATTTTAAAGCTTAGCCATTCAGCTTTCTAACAGTGGGTTGTTTCTTAAATTTGACTCATTGGTTCGCGGGTAATAATACTTTACGTTATTGCGATTGGAGATTAAAAAAATTAAGATGGAATAACAAATCGTTCTCATGAAAATAACTGATTTTTTCATTAAAACAAAAAAATGTTGCATTTTATTAAATGGATTTTAACAATAAGTATAATTACGGCTTTTCTTCCACTATTTTTAACTCAGTTTGAAACTTCAAATGCGATATAATTTTGGCTTGGACCATCTATGCTGACTGACATCAACTTGCTATAATTTCTGTTTACATTACATCGCAATTCGATGACACCAGACACCAGAATGTTTTGACGATTTTTAGCATTCGTTTAGGATTTTCAAACAACCTGGTCTCTTTCAAAACACTTTTAATTTGTTCTTACGTGGTTTTCCAGATGTAGTGACGACAACATTAAAGTTTAAAGAAGAAAATTCTAACATTTAAACCGACTAAACAATAACATAGTAAACTTGCATAATTAAACAGCAACTAAAAATGATAGGTTTTACTAAATCTTTTCCTGTGCAATTATTACTAGCATTGGAGACAAGAATAATAGTTTGTTTGAAAGAGAAAAGAACAG